GTTCCCTCTTTCCCACCGACTCTCCCTCTACCCTCCCAGTATCGCCACTCACCCAACTGGTCCTGTAGGGATCACCCGCCCTAGATTCTCAGGGTTTTTTTCTCTTCTCTTTCCTGTCACATGCCACTGCTGGCCTCCAGGCCATTCCCCTTCGCCTAAGGAAACTACGCCTACTCTCCACAGAGTTGGGGGAGCTCCCACCCTCTGCTGCAGAATATGTAGCTGGGGAAACCCCGCCCACCTTCCGCTGAAGGGAAACTCACGCCTACCCTCCAAGGCCCTTTAAGCAGCTGGAAGAACTCCTAGCCACCCCTTGAGGTGCTCCACATGGCTGGGGGAACTTCTGCCCATCCTCTGCAGTCCCACGTGACTGAGGGAGCTTCCTCCCACCTCCCGTAATGCCTCACCTGGCCTAAAGCAGTCCACAGTACTCCAAGCTGCTGCGGAAACCTCTCCCCAACCTACGCAGCAATCTAGCCAACCAAGGAAATTCCACCCACCATTGACGGCAGACGGTGCTCTACACCAAAGTGAGCACACCCACCTAGCCTCCACGCCACTCCCATTGTAGCAGACACCCCAGCATGCCCTCTGAGGCACCCCAAGGCACCATTAGCCACACCAACACAGCTTCTTGTGAGACCATTCAGTGCAGCACCATCCTTATGGGTCCACAACCACCCAACCAGCGTTCCCTGATAGGACCATCCAACTTGTCCTCCAAATAACAGAATACTGGTTGGCTGGGGAAAAAAAAGTGAAACCACAGGAGGATAAAGCATTAGTCCAACTCCAAAATGCAATTAGCTACAGGCAGTTCAGAGAAGCATTCCTACAAGTCTCCCAAGGAGAGAGCCCAGTGCTCTTCAACTCTGGAAAATGGTGCCAGACTCCTCATAAACAACAAAACACAAACAGGAATCAGCCTCAACAACCTCAACCAAAAAAAACAGGAGAAACAAAAGCCAATGTCAGAAGAAGTCCTGAACTTAACTACATGCATAGAAGCAGACATTGATCTGCCACAGAAAGAAATCTTCAGAATGCTGCTTGGAGTCATACAGGATATGAGGGAAACAATACAGGAAACGGATGAAATGACAGAGGAGATAAAGGCAATGAACCAAAGGGAAATACAAGACCTAAGAGATGAAATAACAGAACCCAGTAGCAAATTAGCAGACTTCACTAACAGACTTGAGGAGGCATTAAAAGGCCGAGGCTAGCAGACTGGCTTAGAAAACATCTGCTGCCTACCAGAGACACATCTCAAGATTACAGATAAAAATAGGCTGAGAATCAAAGGCTGGAGAAAAATATACCAAGCCAATAGCAATTCAAAAACATCAGGGTTGCAATCCTAATCTCGGACAAAATTGATCTCAAGGTGCAAGCCATAACAAGAGATAAGGAGGGGCACTATACAACGCTCAAGGGAACAGTACACCAAGAACCAGTGAGCATAATAAATTTATACGCGCCCACCAGAGACCCACAAAATTCATCAAACACTCCAAAAGATGAAAAAAAGAAATTACAGGCTCAACAATTATAGTAGGTGACTTTAATACACCACTCTCCGAGAAATATCACAGGGAAAGAAGCTTAACAAGGAGGCTAAAGATCTAAACATTACGATTAGATGACTTGACCAGACAGATATTTTCAGAGGTCTCCACCCAAATGCAAAAAATTCATTCTTTTCAAGCTCACATGGCACATACTCAAAGCCAGACCACATGCTAGGACACAAGTCAAATCTGTGTAATTTCAGGCACAAGGAGATCATACAGATTTCTCTCTTTGACCACTATGCCATAAGGCTGGAAATCAACAAAAGGACAATTAAGAAAACAAGGGCAAACAATTGGAAGATGAATAACTATTGAAAAATGAGTGGGTACTGACCCAGATCAGAGATGAAATTAGGAAGTTTCTAGAAGCCAACGATAATGAGAATACAACCTACCAAAATCTTTGGGACAGAGCAAAGGCAGTTATCAGAGGAAGTTTGATAGCAATACATGCACATATGAAAAAGGAAGAGTGACTTAATTATTAATATGCTGACACAAAACTTACAGCAATTAGAGCAGAGTCAACAGGACAATCTTACTAAGAGCAAAAGAAAAGAACTAATAAAAATAAGAACTGAGATTCATCAGAGGGAAAACAAGAAAACTATGGAAAAAAATTAATGCAGTGAAAAGTTGGTTCTTTGAAAGTATTAACAGAAGCAGCAAACTGCTGGCAAACCTAACCAAAGAAAGGAAGGAACAAATTTCAATAGCAAGGATGAGGGCTGAAACAGGGGACATTACAACAGACCCTAACGAAATAAAAACAATAATTACACAGTACTACGAAGGCCTGTACACCAATGAATTCAACAACTTGGAAGACTTGGAAAAACAATCCCTCACAAGACTATCCCAAATGGATGTCAAGAATCTCAAAAGACCCTAGCAATAGAAGAAATAGACAAGCTTATTAAGGAATTACCAACAAAGAAAAATCCCCCAGGTCATATGGCTTCACAGGAGAATTCTACCAAGCATTCAGGGAAACCTGACACCAATCCTACACAAATTCTTCCAGAACATAGAAAAACACAGCAAACTCCTGAACTCTTTCTCTGAAGCTATTATAACTCTGATACTGAAAGCGGGCAAGGATCCCACAAGAATCAAGAACTACAGACCAACATCCCTAAGGAACATCGATGTAAAAATCCTTAACAAAATACTGGCCAACAGAACACAAAAGTGTATCATATAAATAATTCACCATGATCAAGTGTG